ATTGGTTGAGACTCACTCCCACTATGAAGGGTAATCTGTTTCTTTGTTCAAAGTCTACCTATTTAAGTGTTAATCTCACCCCACCAAAAAAAAAAACCACTTTCATAAAAACATCAGACCATTTGACCAAATATCTCAGCAATGTTGCCCTGCTATATTACATAAAACTTACCATCACATGCCTCCTTCTAGTTATTTTCCTCCCCCAAAGGGTGGCCATTTTTCCATTTTATAATTATATAGATAAGTTTCGCCTTTTTTTGAATTTTATATAGGTAGAGCAATATTTTGTGGGTTTTTCTTTTCTTTTTTTTTCTACATTTGGCTTCTTTCCCAGAGCTTCTGTAACCTGTTCCAGAGAGACTGACAGGATTGAGCTGTGGAAAGGTGTAGAGCCCCTTTTTCATCTGTTGTCTGGGGCAGACCCCAGTTATCACAGCTATACCCTCTAACACAGATGGGCTAGCTTATGTTGCAGTCTGGAAGCTGAACCTCAACATACCCTCAGCCATATTCTGCACCTCCTCTGCTGCTTGTCACATTGACAGGCTTGGCCCTCAGAGATATCTAGACAGCTCGCCTCTCCTCCTTCCCATATAATCTTTTCTTTTTTTGTGAGTACGGAAACTGAGGATCAGAAAGGGAAGTAACATGCCCAAGATTTAAGAAACCACAGAGTGTGGATCAGGATATACAGGCTTGGTCTCTCAGTGCTGTTCCCTCGTAACTTGGGTCTTTCTGCCTTTCCTTCATTCTTCTTTGCTGGCCCAGTAGCATTCGTACTTGCCAAGCGCCACAGGAGGGAGAGACCTTCATGACTCCCTGGGCTCTGGTGAGGATGCCCATCTACACAGGAACCCTTTCTCTCCTTTCAGCACAGTGATTGGTTGTCATCCTCTGCTCTCCACTCTGTTTCCTCCTGGCAGAAACAGAGCCTGCCACCCAGGCTGGAGCAAGGTTCAGGTTGGTGACAGACAGCTGGCTGGTGTTTGACATGTAATTGTGGTCCATTTCTGTTTGGTGTATGACAGTTTGAAGACTCCATTCATTTTTAGGATTTTACCTCCCTCCCCTTCAGTCATTCCTTTGAGTCACCTTCCCATTTGCAACTCTATTCTGCAGTTGGAGGTTCCAGGGTAGGCCTTGAAAGGAGCTCTGTTTTAGGAGTTGGAAGACTTGCTACAACAAGATGTGTGACCTGTCCTCTCAAGGCCTCAACTTCCTCCCCTGTAAAATGTGTGCATCAGGTATCTTGAAGGTCCCTCCCTGTGCTCCATTTTATGCTGCTTCTTTATTCAAACCACTGAGCCATAGAAAGATTCCAGTTGTGGCAGAGCAGTTAGCTCAGCAGATGGGTGAGATGAGAGGGAAGGAGATGTTCTCACCATTGGATCATCCTTTCCCCACCCACTTCATTGTGCCTCCCTGGTGTTTTCAGAACACAAATGACAACCTTTGTTTTTCTCTGTGTTCCTTGTTATTCTCTGCATTCCCATTTCAAAGCCTATAATCTTCTTGTATCTAGATGAATTTGTGTTTACTGTAAGACAGCCATGGTGCAGCATTCACATTATAATTGGTTGTTTTTTCCTCTGTTTCAGTGAATTGTGAGGGATTCTGTGTGCATCAGAACTGGTCCCTGGAGTGGGCTGTGTGTGTGTCAGATTTATTGTGTGCAGCTCCACTTTCTTTTCTTAATCCCTAGTTCTGCTTTTGCTGATTTCAGTTAAAACCAAAGATTATGAAGCAGGCAGGTTCCTGCCCTCTGAGGTTTTGAACTCTGTTCCTTTGCTTGAAGCATCTCACCTTAGGAGGACGGAAGTGAACCTCATCGAACACCACTGGACTCCCTGGGCAAGAGGAAGCGACACTGAATACTGTTACGTTATTGATTGATTTCTTTTTAATGAGTTACTGAAAGCCTTTTTGATGCCAGGATTTTCCTTTCATTGTCAGATAAAATCATCTATCTTTTATTCCCTGAAACAGCTTTTTAAAAATTTGTAGAGGGTTTTTACGAATTATTAAGAGAAAGGCAGTGATTTCTGGATCCACCTTATGCTCCAACTTATCCCCACCTGCCCTAGCATTTGTGTAGAAAATTCCAGTGTTTCTTCCCATTAGTTTTCTATTTTGGTCCTCCCAGTTGAAGTAACCATGTGTCATGGTCAAGTGACTTATCCATGGTCACACAGCTAGTTGATGACCAGTTGTGATTAAGAAGCCCAGCTTCCTGAATACTGATAACTCGTTCACTTGGCAACATTCTGCCTTTCCCAGTCATGAGGAGAGTTTGCCACCATAACTTAAAGTCTTCACTAATTCCTTAACTGATGGAGTAGGCAGTTAGATGCCAGAGCATAGGAGGAGAGGTGAAGGAAGCATGAAGCCTAGCTTGAATTTTTCTTCTGCAGGCCGGGCAAATTACTTATATCTACAGAGTAAGGAAAATGAGCAGAGGCAGAATTCCCTCCACCTTTTCCCCCAAGTGGATGGTGTTTCTTGAGCCAGTGGATGACAGGATTGCATCTGGGACCAAGGGCACTTTGTGTAAGTCCATCATCTTATATGTTGTGCCCTGGTGTAGTAGGTGCCACATACTAGGATCTTACCCATGTTTGTAAGTTGCCTCTTTCATAGCAGTGAACTTTTGAAGAGGTCATACAGCATCATGGGTAAAGTTAGAGATTTCTCTCTTCTCAGGTTTGAATCCTGGCTCTGCCACTTTCTAGTTGTGTGACCTTGGACCAGTTGCTTCACCTGTCTGTGCTTGAGCTTGCTCTCTGTTGTAATAACAGGGCTGTGGATTAAAAGGATTAACAAATGTAAAACTCAAAAGGGTACACAGCATTGTGAGAAGAGTGTTTTTTCTTCTATCTAGCCCTCATTCCCTCTCTCCATCAAATCCACTCACTGTGCGTGTGTGCATGTGGATGGGTGTATGCATGTATATATACGTGTCATTTATTGACGGCAGCTTTTGGAGTCTTCATTTCCAGGTGGCCTGCTGAGCCCTCCAGGCAACTGTAGTTCATCCATATTTCAACTTCAGGGTCTATGTGCATTTAACATGTATTTCTAAATGTTGTCATTGGTAGACTCCTTTGTGGAGAGATCTGAGAGAAAGGAAACTGAGTATACCCTGTCACTCCCAGCCACACTTCTGCCAGGTCCCCATATCTGAGGGGCTGGGGACAGCTGTGAGAATTAGTTGATTCTTTTAGTGGAAAGAGAATATTGATTAACTATCTCAGTCAGCTTGGGTTGCATAACAAAATTATCGACTGGGTAGCTTAAATAACAGAAATTTATTTTCTCACAGTTTTGAAGGCTTGAAGTCCAAGATCAGGGTGCCAGTCTGATTAGGTGCTGGTGAGACCTCTTTTTGGCTGTCCCCTTGATGTTTTCTCACATGACCTTTCCTTGGTGGGTGGGTTGGAAACTGGGGATGCCACCTCTCTTCTTATAAGACCTCTTACCCTATCTGATTAAAACCCCACCCATGTGACTTTATTTAGTGTTGTTTATTCCTAAACATCTTATCTCTAGCAAAGTTATACTGAGGGGGCTAGGACTTTAACAAGTGAACTTAGGGGGTACAATTTAGTCCTGTGTACCAGTCTTCCTCCTCCCAGTGACCCAGTGAGGAACACTGTTCCCCTTTGACCCCAGGCACTGTGTTATTTGTAAGAACATTAGGTCTCCATTTCTCTTCTTTCTTGAGGTTTGGAGTGTGAATGAAGGGTGGAAACTTGTGCTTACTTCCACCCTTCCAAGTTCAGAAATGATGTGCATTGGAAGGAGAACCAACATTCTGACATGTAGTGATGACCTGTCTTGTCCTATGTTTAGACTAGGAACTAGAATCACATGAAGCACAGCGGTAGTGCTTTCACCACCTTCCTCTTAACAAACTCCCAGAAGCGATGAACACCTTCCAGTTCTCTCAGTAAAACACACTCAGTTATACCCCCAGAATGCTGAATGCACCATGAGCAGGCTGCTCTTTGCCACACCCACTCGCTTTAGCGCCCACTGGTTGAATTATGTGCTTACTAAGAGCCAGTTGGTTCTCAAAGCCATTTGTACAGTTGTAAGTAGTGTTGTAATTAAGTGATGCATTTCAATATCAGATAAACTGATGAAATATGACTGCAAATAAAGCAATCTTTCTCCCACCCTCCACCCCTTGAACACTTACTGAAAGCTGTGGGAAGACTCACTAAGTCAAAGTCACTAAAAAACATTACTGTCAAATTAGATAAGCATTAAGATTCGGGGAAATCATAAAACTCTTAAAATTTTATACTGAGATCTTTCTGAGATTGTCTACATTTTTAGTCCACTTTAAAGAACCAGGAATTAGAAGTGATAGACAATGTATTATGTTCAGGGTCATGTAAGAAATATGATGTGGTGTTCTTAGCTAGGGACCCTTACTCAAAGAGAAAGGTGAATGAATGCAAAAATAAAAATGTTAGGCTTATCTTTTTGTGATTCTTGCTTTATTTTGACTAACCTGGTTTTGAGCTAATCACATTTGAATGGTGGGTTTCTCCTATTGTGATTTGATGTAGAGCCTGCCTTGATGACTTGGTTTGGTTTATGTTTAGTGTTTTAGGAAATAGATTTTATTTTGTATATGGTACAAACAATAAAATCAATCCTAGAGGGTTTTTGAAACTGAAGTTTCAAATGAAGGTGCTTATTCTGGATTTTCATGGATTCCTTGGTTCTTCTCATACTCGCAATATATGAGAGAGACCTAATTCCTTCATTTTACAAATGAGGAAACCAAGGCCTTAAGAGGTGAGGTGTGTCATTGTGTCACGATCAGTTATGTGAGGTGGTGGAATGAGGGGACAGTAACACAGCAGTTGGAATGCCCCTCTCCTCCTTCAGTTCTCTCTGTCCCCAGTGATGGAGTCTTTGCACCAGGAGTTCTCTGGGTGGATGGGCTTCTCTGACTCTGCTGACCTGTGTTCCCTTCTTTTGTTCAGGACTAACCTGGAGGCCTTGCAGAAGAAGTTGGAGGAGCTGGAGCTCGATGAGCAGCAACGGAAGCGCCTTGAGGCCTTTCTTACCCAGAAGCAGAAGGTGGGGGAGCTAAAGGACGATGACTTTGAGAAAATCAGTGAGCTGGGTGCTGGCAATGGTGGCGTGGTGTTCAAGGTTTCCCACAAGCCGTCCGGCCTGGTCATGGCCAGAAAGGTAAGGCCACTTAAGAAAAAAAAAATCAAGTTTGCCTTAGTAAACAGGCAATTGGATTATCTGTTGGAAGGTCTAAGGGCCTGGAAACAAGGGCGGAAGGAAGACTGACTTTTCACCCAGTACCTTTTTGTAATTTGAGTTTTGAACTCATGCGCTACCAGATGGAAGACATATACACTAATAATGTGCAGGTGTGTTTATCAAAGAGAAGGCTCTGGGTAGCTTAGGTCAACATGCCCAGTTCCTTGGGCCCTTTTGTTCCAACAACCCTTGAGTATCAACCAAGTCCCTTAAGGCCACTTTCCTCTCATCACTCAGCTTCACAGATCTTTGTGGAGGAAGCCCTGCATTCCACTTTATTCTCAGAGGGGTAAGTCTCTTTTCCTCTATCTCCCTTCCTTGGTTAAAGCTCCTCCAATACCAACACTTGTGTTGTTACATTGGTGCTTCATAGTTTGGTGGGCAGGAACTTGCCTATCTCCTTTTTCCTTATCTTTTGGCACTTAGGTTTTTAAGAATACTTGCATTTATCCATCCTCCCATTCATCCACATTTTTTTTTTTCAAAGATGTATTTATTTAAGCATACAAGAACTGGGGTATAGGCCAGAGGTGCAGTGGTAAGAGGATTCCCCAGAGACAGAGCGGGGAATAGAACAGGCAGACTGACTGAAATACACTGCTGAGGGGAGCAGTGGGCGAGACAGGAGAGGTCTGCTGTGCCATGTGGGTTAGCTCCCTGGCCACGGTCTGAACTCGTTCTGCAGATAGCTTTATAGTCCTGACATTTAACTCCTTGTGCCAGCAGGGAGGCCCTATCATCCACATGTTTATAAAACCTCTCTTCCTCCCATCTTTCCCTCCTCAGCTAATTCACCTGGAGATTAAACCTGCAATCCGGAATCAGATCATAAGGGAGCTACAGGTTCTTCATGAATGCAACTCCCCATACATTGTGGGCTTCTATGGTGCATTCTACAGTGATGGCGAGATCAGCATCTGCATGGAGCACATGGTATGTGGCAGTCTGTCGACCTCGGGAGCACTGGCCTGGGAGTAGGGTGGCTCTGTTCTAATCTTTGGTTTGGGAGGTGACCAGCTTCCTCTCTGCTTCTCTCTGGATCCATATCACTGTCTTGGGTGTCTGAGAATCCTAACGGTAGGACTTGGAATATCCAAAAGATGATAGGCCTCCTTCCTAGGTCTTTGCTTCTCTTCCAAGAGACATGGTAGAAACCAGATATCCTTGGTGGACGTACCTGCTAGTAAGCATACCTCCCAGTTTCTTGACCTCAGCATGTTGATGTAATAAATATGGTTGGTATAGTTTAAATACCTTTCATTTTATGTAATGCTAAGTGCTAGGGTTCTGGGCAGCCTGAAGGGATTCTTTGGATGTGTAGGAAATTAATTGATATGCATCAGTGGAAGGAGAGGGCACATGAGAGGACACTTATGGGCTGAGAGGTGTGTCTAAATTGCCCATCTTTTTACCATCAGCTGCCTGAGTGTGTTTTTCTCTTCCCAGTGACTCAGTAATAACAGTAACACTAACAATGTTAGCAATACTAGTAATGATCAACTAATATTTGTGGGGTACATATTATATCAAGCCCTATCCTAAGCAAATCAGTGTTTTATTGCAGTTTTACAATAAGCTCATTGGTGGGTACATTATTTCCATTTCACAGCAAAGGCTCAGAGAAATGAATTAACTTACCCAGCGTCATGTAGCTAGTAAAGTCCGAAGCCTGGACTTTATTGAATTCATTGGATAGAGGTTGGTGCTCTGTTTCCATCTCTGATGCCTAGAACGTCAAAGAGAGATGCTGACTTCATGGTTACTATTTTTTTCTGTCCCTGGTAGGCAGCATGGCACAGGGGACTTTGGAATTAGAGATGTTTATTCATAGCTCCCTTTTGCACAAATTCCAAGTAGCACTTTGTCTTGTTTGCCACTGTGTCTCCAAAGCCCAGAATAGTCCTGGTACAGAACAGGTGCTCGGTCATTCTCTGTTTACCCATTGTCTCTTTCTCTTCAGCACCTTGGGCAAGTTTTTTTTCTTCCTGATTCTCAGTTTCCACATCCATAAAATGGCCATTATTATCCCTGTTTCATCATGGGGCGGATTAATTAAAATATTAGATGTTAAGTCTTCCAGCCACTGTCTTATTCAGAGCATGTCTTCTGCAAACAATAACTTTTGTCTATTCTTACTGGGGCCTGCAGTTGAGTGGCAGGCTGACATGCATCTGTGTGTTTCACAGTGCTGTGCTTCGCTCCAGCAGTGTCCCTCGGCTACTTCCTGTTGCCCTCCTGGCTCTCTAGACCTGACCTCTGGAATGAGGACCTCACTGCCTGGTCTTCATGAACCCTAGGTGAACCCTCCCTGGGAGGGTTGGCCTTGCTTGCATCACCATTGTGTGGCACATCTCTTTAATTTAATAGTTAAGAAGTGCCATACACACTGTCACTGGCATCCACTAACTTTTGTGGGTGCTAGAGGGAAGGTAGAGCCTGAAAACATCTGCACATCTACAGGTCACTGAGATAGCTTTTATTCCCTCTTACTTCAATGAGAGCAAAGCTGTCTCTGTGGGAAGCACACCAACATTTCTGGCTTGGTCCTAGCCCAGGCCTGGAGTGTTAACTATTTCCAACTTGGGTCTTGGCCACCCTCTGGTGATGTGGGGCCTAGGGAGGGGATAATTCTTATCCATTGGGTTTCTGGTGCTCTTTGTGCTGCTGATGGTTGGTTTTCCAGCTCTAGCCCAAGAGTTTTGGATAAAGATGTATAAATAGCAGTGGAGGTCCTGGAAAACTAGAAAGGGAAGAGGATGGAGGTGATGGTGAGAAATCAGAGACAGGAAAGTCAGAGTAGCTTACTTTCCTCTTAGTTCTTGCCAAAATAATGGCAGGTGGGTGGTAACGTGGCTAGACACAATAACAGCTACTTTCCCAGTCTTCCACCACTTGCTGAGTTCTTTCCACATAAATTGTTAATCACATCAGCCTGTCATGTGAGACAGATTGTTGATACATCCCTCCCCCAGCCTGCAGAGGGAGAAAGTAAGAGGGCTTAAGAGTCTCAGTCACATAACCAAGCCTGCTAGCTCTAATTTTTGTGCTCTCTCCATTACCCTTTGTGAGTTGTATATTCTCAGCTTTTCTCATTTTGGTAGAGCTCTTCGCTAGAACCCCTCCCCATGCAAACATCCTGTGTTTCTATGGTTTTTGGCACTTACACCAGTCAGGGTGTAAACTTGATTAGTTAATCAACATGGGTTCAGCTTCACAAACACTTATTTTTAGTGCCGATTATGCGCAAGGTGCCATGTTTACTGCCAAGGAGGTGGAGACATTGAGAACAGCATCTCTGCCCTCTGGAGCTGTTACAGGCTGGATGGCTGTGTTCTAGGCTCTTCTCAGGTGAGGGTGTCAGTGTGGACGTGAGGGCTTCTGAGCACCAGGTTTGTGCCATCTCATGCTTGTTGGTTTCTGAACCATCAGAATTCTTTCCTGAATTACCTCCAATCTAGCGTCACCCAGAATATAGAGGAACCAGGAAACTGTTTGTGGGATGTATATGGTTGCACTTATGGGCATTTGCTTCAGAGGATAGGATTAGGCCCCAAATATTAATAGGCAGTGGCCTATCCATTCAGTAAGACCCTGCTAGAACCACTTTCAGTAATTAACTTTCTGTGGTCTCCTACCGTGTGGAGGACGTCTTTATTTGTCTTAAATTGACTTTGTTTGTGTCTTCCTTACTGTGTAAGCCTTCCTTATTCACTCTGGGTTCATAGATACTGGTCACAAGCTTTTCATCCCTTTCTCTACCCTGTCTTCCTCCTCCTACCCCCTGTCCTCCTCCAGGAGCCAATAACAACATGGGGCTTCTCTTGGCTCATTTCCAGTATTTGCATGTCAGTCCTCACACCTCCCCTACCCCTTGCCCCATGCATTTGGCTCTGTGGGAATAATGGGGTCCTCCCACACAAATCCCTGAAGAAGAAGATATCTCTGGAATTACTCTAGGGTGCCTGAGCCTGGGAAACTGGCTGCCAGAAACTAGGAAGGTCAAAACCCTTTTAGGGTCAAGCACAGTGTCTGGTCCCTATTAGGTGATATTTGTTGAATGACTGAATGAGGGAGGTCAGGATTGGGGAGGGCATTGTTAGCCTGGGGCTCTGTGGGAAAGTTAGGCCTCAGGGTCAGCAATAGGGCCTTCTGTTCCTGAGCCTCCACAGGCCAGAGGACAGCTGGAACAGTCTGCTAATACTAGCTGGACCCTGTAGGGAAGCAGTTGTGGTGTAAAGTCCAAGCAATTATGAGGAGTTGCTTTCTTTCTGCTCCAGCCATGGACATTCTCACCCTTTCCTAGGTCCCTGAGCAGGTGAGCTCCGTGCAGCTGCCCAGAATGGGAAAGTTCACACTGCTGGCTGCCACTTCTCTTTTGAGATTTCTGCTTTGCCTCAGCTTCCACATTTCAAAGGTGTTGTCAAGTCCAGCTCTTATTCTTCACCATAGCCCCCAGCTTCTGAGGTCCTCTCTGTGTCCCTGGCTTTGCATGGTGTTCTTTGCCATTCACATGTCCCCACAACACTTTATTCTGGAAGATTTCAAGCATACAGAAAGTTGAAGAAATTATCTCTCCAAACTCCCACCTAGAGTCTGCAATTAACATTTTGTTGTATTTACTTTATCATTTATTGCTCAAATCACTTTTTGCATGCATTTGAAATTAAATTCGTGAGTCACCATCATTCATTGAACCCCATCTTCTAAAGCACTTGGCCAGGGACTTACCTTTCCCAGAAATAAGCTGTTTGCACTGCTGGGTCTGAATTTAGACCCAGTGGATACCTCTGATCAGAACAGAAATGCTCTTGTTTGGGGGAGAAGTAGATTTCTGCTCAGGTGGTGGCTGAGCAACCAGAGAACTAGGATCTTGGGGTGGATGGTTCTCATGCAGGAGTAGAAGCTTTTGAGCTTTTTTTTTTTTTTTCCATAAAGCATTTGTCTCTTCTATAGAAAACCATCACAAAAGCACCATTGACTTCGTTAATAATTGGCTTCTAAAAATAAGCATGTTTTCAGCAGCTTTAGTCAGTGAAGGCAAGTCCTTGGCAACAGTAAGTAGAATTAAAAGGTTGTAAGGTGAGTTGCAGGCAACTCTGGTAATCCTGACCGTGGCTCATGCCTCTTCAATCTTGCTAATTCTATTGTTCACACTTTAGCTCTACTTATAGCTCAGAAGGATGCTAAAGGGAAGCGAGTCAAGGTCCCTTCCTTTTCAAAATAGAAAAATTTACCACAGCCCCAGAAAGTGTAAACCAAGACAGTTAGCTGGGCTGTCCTCTGAGGCTGTAGAACCTGAGAACCACAGGGTTAGTTTTTCTACCTCATTTTAATCAGATTTTGACAAAGTTGCCCTGTTATATTGTTTTAAGCTTACAGTCCTCCCTGATGGTTAGGTAAGCCTTTCAAACAAAGGCGCTGAAACCACATTCAACTGGAAGCAAAATAGAAATGGCTTGGAAACTTTGTCTGGGGCTCCTTCTTCCCATTGGTAAAGGTAACTGAAGATCCAATGGCATTTCTAGGAGGCTGCTGACTTGAGCAGCCTTAACTGGGTTGTGGTGTTCTCCTGATTTGGCCACCAGGGACCTGTGTTATTGTGAAGGCAGCCAGGATGACAGGGTGACTCAAACCTCAGCCTGGATCATCACCACCTGGATAAGGCTCTTGCAGGGGCTTTTGAAAAATAAATGTAATTAATCATGTTTATTTGTGTTTGGTTCTAAATTCCTAATTCCATTCTCATTATGGCACATTTAAAATTTTAGGTGGGAGGTAATGGCCCTCTATTGTGCTCCTAAGTTGACTGCTAGAGGGTTTGTTATGATGGGAGTCAGACATGACCAGGGGTGCAGGGGTGTTAGTGTGCAGCTGAGAAGCCACACCTGTGTTACTTTGTTTTTTTCCATCAGTTTCTGTGATCCAGTTGACTGTGACAGAGTGATTGGCCCAAACTCTCCTTTTATAAGCATAGAATTTTAAAGTCAATAATCTATTTTTAACACTGTTTTAGGTAATATTTCTCAAGAGATCTGTATCCCTGAATGCATCGTACTTATTTTCTAACCTCCCTTAGAAAGAAGTGGTTTTGTATATCTACCAAACATGCCCTAGCTCAATACACACAGGTGCTCAGAAAGGATCTATTAATGGAGTCATGATATCATTCTCCACTTTCATAAATGAGTTCAATAATTTAAAAAGGTAAAAATAACAAACAATAAAAAAAGCGCTAAGAAGACACTATCACACAACTCAATCTGCTGGTATTTTGCTACCTAGCCTGTAAGTAAACATTGATAACATTTTTGATATTCTGCTTTTGTGAGTATAAATAAAAAAGACATTATGCTCTGTCTATCTTGTGTCTATGATAATGTGCATTGTTTTATGACCTCACATTCCATGGCTGCATTGTAGCGTTGGGTCAATTTGGAGGCAGGGTACCTGTGGGAACATTGCTTTGCTGATCTTTGTCCATGCCACCACCACTCAGCCCCCACTCCCAGGCTCAGCTTCCTCATCTCTCCTATTATGAGCCTTTCCTTTAACACTTTGCCTAGGAGTTGCTTCCTCCTGAGCTCCTATAGTAGAATCTATTCTGTCCATCATCTGTTTATTCTTGGCCTATTTTGGAGGAAGATTTATGGTACTTTGCCTCTTTATGTTCTGTCTCCTCAAAGAGAGTGTATTTTTTTCTGTATCTTAGAGTTTTTCTACCCCTGGTCCCTTATGGATCCTTTTGCCTTACAGACAGGCCTTTGATAAGTGATGGATGATGGTGGTAACTACTCAGTGTAGATAGAATACTTTAGAAAACCAGTTTGAAATTATAGCAGTTACCTCTACTTTGAAGCTGATAATTAGCCATACCTGAAGCCTTTGGGGCACAAACTGATTTCTGCTCCCATCTATCAGGGTTGCCTTGAAGCAGTTCTTTAAGATCTCAGGATAAAATGTAGATTCCATGGAGAGGAAGGCCCTGGCAGGTCAACCCTGCAGAGGCTGGGTCCACATCTCACTTGTATGCTCTTACATACTCCCTTTTCACCCCCTCTGCCCAGGGTGCAGCTCATGTCATCTCCTTCCCCTCCCGCCCCCCATCAGTTCCTCACCATTCTCTCTGCACCTTCTCTTAGCTGCTGTGGTTTGCAGGTTGGATTCCTTTCCTTCTGTCTTTATAAAGTCACATCCTGGTTCCTTGGTGGAGTTCTGTAACTGGCAGCCGCTGGCCATTTTCTACCTGATCCATCTCTATATTCCTTCATGCACTGCCATGAAGTGAACCACATGTTACCCCAGCAGCACTAAGCAACTGAGTACTTCTCTGCTTTTGATTTACTGAAATACTGTGTTTTTTTCTCCCCCTTTTCCAGGTGCAGAAATCATAATCATTCTTTGAATAAGACTAGCTCTAATGCCATCTTCTCAGTAAAGTTGAATTACTTCTCCCTTCTTCTGTGTGTTCATAATCACTTTTCTTATACATGTATCCTGGTTTATTAAGAGTTGTATATTTCCCCTGAGTATTCATAAATTTATTGAGAATGGGCAGTAGTTAATTTTCATATCTTTCTTCCCATAGAACCTAGCATGGCCCATAGCACTTAGTAGAACTTGTGGAATTAGTTATTGCTTTCTATGACATTTTTCTTTGGATTTTATTAATTATGACTTGTTGGGCATTTATCAAATTAAAGTTGTGGCTTATATAACAGTGATAAATGGCTAATGTTTATTGAATACCTACTATGTATTAGACATTGCTGTCAGTGGTTTAGTAACTTAGTAAATACTTATATTAGTAAATACTTAGTAAATACTTATATTAGCTCAGTGATTATTATGAGAATCTTACAATTATTATCCTCATTTTATAACTTGAGTAACTTGGTGAAAGTCCTCAGGCAGCAAAGTTAGGATTTGAATTTAGAAAGCCAGCCTCCGAGCCTGCTCTCCTAACCACTGCACTCTCCTCTCAGTTCCATGCCAATAAAGTCCTTGTTTGACCACTGAATTAGTAATTTGTTTGATGACTACCCAGGGAATTTGAGTTATTAGTTATTTGATGCCTCCCACAATGTCTTGCATTCATATTTGATGTCTGGGACAAAAGAAGGGAGTATTTTTATAGGAAGATTCGTTACATGTGACCTCACTTTTCCTCTAAGTCTGACACTTGAAAGAATTGTTGGGAACATTATCTCTGAATGGGCTGGTGTTCTTGTTCTTAGGATGGGGGCTCGTTGGATCAAGTCCTGAAGAAAGCTGGAAGAATTCCTGAACAAATTCTAGGAAAAGTTAGCATTGCTGTGAGTATATTAGCAAGTTTTTCTTCCAAGTCCCCTCATTGATTAATTAATGATTTAGTAGGAAATGAACAAGGGAAGAAGTCAATGAGGGGAAAATCTGTAAGAAAAGTTTGGTGTTCTCACTGGAAGTTTCCCTGTCTAAATTCTAGATAAAATATTCATATTCTCTCTCTCTCTCATTAGAACGAGAAAAGTTCTCCCTTTAGATTGCAGGCTTAGAAAAAAAGCAAATTCAAGCAAACTTTTTTTAAAGTTTTTAAACTCACAATAATCAAACTTACTTAAAAATACTATGTAAAAGACATATACGTGTATGTATGTAGTGCATATATACTATGTAAAAAGGATCATTTCTTGAATCAAAAGAAATAATAAAAAGTAAGGGAAGAAGGCAAATTTCTGATGTTTGATAAAATATTTTAGGTCATTTTAAAATAGTATTTTCTCAACACCACTATTTCAGTTTCCCATATTTCCCATTCCCTTTCCTCTAGGTAATAAAAGGCTTGACATACCTGAGGGAGAAGCACAAGATTATGCATAGAGGTAAGATATTACTTGCTAGTTATGTTTTTCTCTAGATTTATTTATTTTTTAAATTATATTTATTGAGATAATGTTGATTTATAACACTGTATGTTTTAGGGGTACAGGTTCACACATTTACAAATGTATGTTACCACAACACACCCACCATCAAAGTCCCAGTAACCCTCCACCATGGTCCCTTAGGCCCCCTCCCTGTTTTGCTCCCATCCTCTCAGCTAATTTTATTTTGAGTTTTAGCTGTAGTCTAAAATTTGTTGCAGCCTCTTTTGTGTTTTGTTTCAGTTTAAAAGTCATTCAATGTAGTATTTTAATTGTTGCCTATTTAGTTTCATGACTGGAGCAGCAAGTCCCAGTGTGTGTCCATCAACAGTCAAATGGAAAAAGAGCAGGATAGCCATACAATAGGATACAATTTAGCAACAGTACACGAATCTTGAAAGAATGTTGTTGAGTCAGATAAGAAAGAGCACATACTATGTGATGCTATTTATGTAATTATAAAAATTGCAAATTAATCTGTAGTGACAAAATGCAAATCCATGGTTGCTTAAGGAAACTTTTAATGGTGATAGATATGTTCACAGTTTTGATTGTGAGGATGGTCATCTACATGTATGTAAAAGAAATATGTAAAATATGTAAAAGAGACATACACTTACACAAGGTGTATGATTTGATGAATATATACATACACACATTTGTCAAATCATACACTTTATGACATGGAATTTATTATACCAAAATTATATTGGGTTGTTGGAAAAGTCATGATGCACATTTTTTTCTATGTTTTTCAATATGTCATTACTTTTTTTTTTGAAGATTTATTTATTTATGCATACAAGAGCTGGGATACAGGCCAGAGGTGTGAGGGGTGAGAGGATTCAACCGAGACAGAGTGTGGAACAAAACAGGCAGACTGACTGAAATACACTGCTGAGGGGAACAGTGGGAGAGCCAGGAAATGTCTACTGCGCCATGTGGGATTCTCACCAGCCAGCCAGGGATTGAAGTCGTGCTGCAGAGGCTGCGGACAGCTTCATAGGTTGTGTCTTAACTGGTTGTGCCACCAGGGAGGTCCCCTTCCATGACTTTTTCAACAACCCAATACACCAATAAAACTGTAAAAAATCAAGAAGGAAAAAAAGTCAAGTTGCTGAACACTGGTGATGAAGCGAGATTCTTAAGAGTGAACAGGGAAGGGAACAACCACTTTGGAAAAACAGTTTGGTAGTTTCCTTTAAAATTAGGTCATGTGAACCATGCAACCCCACTTCCTGGTACTGACCAAAGAGAAATGAGAACATTGTCCACACAAAGATTTGTGCACAAATGTTCATCTTTATTCATTATAGCCCCAAAGTAGAAACAGCCCAAATGTTCATTACCAGATGAGTTCAGTAAACAAATTTGACACATTCAAACAATAGGATACAGCTTACTGATAAAAATGAACAAACTCCTAGGGTACAGGGTTTAGAACAATCTGAGAAACATTATGCCGATTGAGAGAAGCACTACACAAGAGAGGACATGCTGTATATGTGAAATTCTAGAATAGACAAAATGAATCCACAGTAACATAAAGTAGATCATTGGTTGCTCTGGGTCGGGGGCCTGGAATGGGGATTAACTTCTAGGGGTCATAGGGAACTTAGTAAATCTTGGTTTTGGTGGTGGGTTCATAGTTGTGTACATTTCCCAGAACTCATCAAATGATACACTAAAGTACAAAACTATAGAAAGCCTTTGTCTTCTAGCCATATTAGCTATAATTTTTTCCCTCTTTCTCTTGACAATTGAGAAAAAATCATTAGGAGGGATGATATGAGTTGAGGGAGGAACAGTTACCCAGCAGTTTATGGACCTTGATCTGTGTGCTTTTTAAGACCTCTGAGTTCCATGTTGGAATATTTTAATATTTAATTATTTCTAGAAATTAATTTCTAGAAAACAGGAGTTGCTAACATTTCCTGAGCGTGGATCTGTGGTTCTAGGCTCTGATCAACAGTGTTATAAAAGTGTCTGGTGGAGTAAAGCCATTACATCATCTCTCAAATGGAACCTTGTGCCTGTTCCTAGCTGGCCATGAGGACTAATGAAGTTACACATGGAAAGCAACTGGCAGAATGTTTTGCATATGGAAGGACCTAACAAATATTGATTGCCTTCCTTATTCCTTAAGTTTCCTTAAAATTTCTTTCATGAACTACCTTTGTGTGTACCACACCTTTGCTACAAGTCTGCTCATCCCTTTTAGTCTAACACTGAGGCTTTGGAATCAGCCCTCTAGAGTTCAAATCCTGACTCTTCCATACAAGATGTATAAAATCTCTATTATGTATTCATCTGTAAAATGAAAATAACTCATGTCACAGAGCAGTAATTGCAAATCATGTACTTATTTCACATAGTTGTGAGAATTAAGTAATCTTTCTCATAAGTCATTAACAAATATTGGTTAATAGTAATACGGTTACTATTTTTTAAAAGATTTATTTATTTATGCATAGAAGAACTGGGTTGTAGGCCAGAGGGGGAGCAGTTTGAGAGGAGTCACCAGAGATAGAGTGGGGAGCAGAACAGGCAGATATAATGAAATACACTGTTGAGGGAGCAGTGGGCATGACAGGAGAGGTCTGCTGTACCATGTGGGTTAGCTCTCTGGCCAGGGATTGAACTCATGTGCAGTGGCTGGCGGCAGCTTCACAGTGCTGTGTCTTTAACTTCTGCGCCACCAGGGAGGCCCCAATATGGTTACTATTTAGCTCAGACATCTGTTTTTCCAGTGAATCAGTCCCTCCGAAAAATGGATTAAGAGTGCTGCCTCTGTATTCCTTTGCCACAATCGCCATCCCCTTCTTATTGTAATAAATAATGATTATTATTTAGCAGGGATCTATTTTGTGCTAAGCATGGTATTATGTGCTTTATGCTACTTATTTCATTTATTATTCACAACAACCTTATGAAATAGGTACATTTTTCCTATTTTACTGGTGTAGAATCTAAAACCGAGGTTTTTTTTTTTTAAAGATTTATTTATTCTTTTTCTTATTTTTATTTTTTAAAAGATTTATTTATTTATTTATACAAGCACTGGGTATAGTCAGAAGTGCGGGAGGGTGAGAGAATTCACCAGAGCCAGAGCGGGGAGCAGAACAGGCATAAGGACCGAAGTATACTGCTGAGGGGAGCAGCGGGCAGCAGGAGAGGTCTGCACGCCATGTGGGACCCTCCTCCGCTGGCCAGGGAGCAGCCGGGGATCGAACTGGTGCTGCACAGGCTGCGGGCAGTTTCGCAACCCAGCGCTCAACCGCTGCGCCACCAGGGAGGCCCAAACCCAGAGTTTTTATGTCTTTCTCTCCCATTATAAATGACCAAATCAGCTCTTTTGTTTGCACCCAGAAGGACAAACTCAACTACAAAAAGTGACTTTACATGGAGAAGTCTATTTGAGTTGGCCATCAAGAAAGTTGGCAGGATATAGGCATCAATAAAGCCCCCAGCTCCCTGAATGGAGAGAGTGCTGGGATTGTGTAAGGCAGAAAGAATGTGAGGGAGTACAGGGGTTCACATTTGCATGTCCAAGGAGATTCTGCACTGTCTCAGCAACATGAGTCAAGGTGTTTGACTTTCCTAGCATAGTGTTCTCTCAGCGATCACATGTGTTGTTTCTGATGCCACTGTTAACCCCAGAGGGATACAGAGAACTTTATTAGGGATGTAACACACTAAGTGTCGCAAGTTCCAAGGAATGCAGGCTAGAGCCAGGTAACGGTTAATCATGAGGAAGGGGGTAGAGGGAAAAGAAAACAAAGGGTGGTTAGAGTTTAATTCCACTTATCCCTCATTTTCAGTCTATAGGATGTTTTTCTTTGTTGTTGCAAGTCCATGAGTTTCTTCAAATCAGGGAACACATCTATTTCATCTCTATCACCAGTTCCTAACATAATACAGAAAATAGTTCCTCCTTAAAGGTTTGTTAAATGGGTGGCTGTGTTATTGACTTGTGCCAGAACACAGAATCAGCAGAGAAACTAGGCCAGGAACCCTTGTCTCCTACTCTTAACACAGTCACTAACCTAGTCCTGTGTTTTTTATACCATGTGCCTTCTGTGTTTCTATGGAGAGCTCTCACTTTATTTACGATCCAAAGAGAGGAAGGTTTCAGCTCATTCTCTGAATAGCCAACTTGCTTTCCTCTTCTGGCTGGTGCTACTCCCGCTTTCCCAGGACTTTCTTTTCTGGCTCCACCAATGATGGCTCTTTGGCATGAGTAGCTGCTTTGTGAGCCAGATGGGCCTCTGGACAGACGTCTTTGGTGGACAGTCCATTACTTGCCTAGCCAGGAAGGGAAGTCACTAGAAGGACTTCTGCCCCACTGAGCAGTATGTGTATGGGCTGGCCTGGCCCAGCTACTCAGCTATTCAGACTCCTGCTGTTTGTGGGACTTCTCCAGAAGTACTGAAAAAAGGAACTGTAAGGCCTGGTCTGTGGAATGCTACTCTTGCACAACTTGATTCCTGGGCAAGAAGCATAGTAAGTGGATGGTTCCTGGAAACCCAAGTTAGGGTGAAGGTAAGAGAGAGTCTCCCTGCCTCTGTCTTTAGGTGTCCCAGTTGCCAGTAAATTCTTAATCTCCAAATATGTTTTTCCTTATGAAATTTAAACTGTTTCTTTTTATTTTGTGCTTAAGAAAAACAGGGAGGAGTAGAAAGCTTTTTCTCTGCTTCACATTTTTTATTTATTCTCACTTGTTGATACTGATTTGCTGGAGATAGGTTAGTGATTATTTTACTTAGCTTTCGCTATGTAATAAACCACCCCCAAATTTAGTACTTTAAAATTTTCTACAATTCTGTGGATTGGTGGGGCTTCTCTCCCTGTGGATGGGAGGCTAAAGCTCTGTCTTCTTCCTGTGATGTTCTTGGGGATTTTACTCACAAGCCCAGAACTCATGCACTGTTTGAACCTCCATTTATGTCAGGTTAGTT